GCATCACTAGGAGTCACACGTGGCCCCGCCGTGATCATGAGAGCGGTCCTACGAGATCGGCCGTGATGTGCTCCCACAGGCGGGTGACATTGGTCGCATACAGGTTTCCTGCCGGTTTTCGTTGCAAAGACTTGTGCGCCAAGCATGTAGGGCAGCAACGTACGTATCCGGCGATTTCACGAAACATCCCGAGCCAATAAAATTTTTCAGCGATGCGGGCGATAGTTTTCGCGTTGTTGTTCGCGTGGAACGCACAACTTCCGTTGTTCGTCGGCGGAAGTATCTTTAAAACTGAAGTGGAGGATGTGGCGATAGAGCCCGTCGTTCAGGATTCGGTAATCTAGGCGTGCGGCGGGGTCGCGTCGGATTTTGCTCAGTAGACGGTTGTACCAGCGGCAGCGGATCGTCTGGATAGCGTTTTTCCGATTTTCGTGAGAATGCATTGGCCACGCAGTTTAATGTGCCGCGGCGGTATTTGATGTCGTAATCAAACTACTGGAACTCGAATAACTATTGTGCGAGTCGGCCGGTCGGCGTTTCAAGTTTTCGCAGCCAGCGTAGGGACTGGTGGTCGGTAATCACGGTGAAGGCGTAACCTTCTAAATAGTTCCGCATTTGTCGTATGTCCCACACAACCGCGAGACATTCGAGCTCCGTTGCGCTATAATTTCTTTCGGCGCCGGTTAATGTACGACTCGCGTACGCTATGACGCGTTGCCGTTCTCGTGGTATTGTGTGAGGACGGCTCCGAGGCCGCCGATACTAGCGTCGGTCTGCAGGAAGAACCCGCAGAACCTGGGTGAAATCCGCGCACGCAAGGACGGGAGCGGTGTTAGTGCATTCTTAAGATATTGGAACGCCGCGGTTTCCTCCGTTTCCGATGCTTAGCGAGCTTTCTTCTTTGTTAATCACGTGAAAGGGGCAGCGAGTGTTAAGAAATTTTCGATAAATCGGCGGTACTACGACGCCAGCCCCAGGAACTGTCAGACTTGTTTTACTGAGCGGGGTTCCGCCCAGTTCGCGACCGCGCTGACTTTTTCGGGGTCGGTGTGAATCCCGGCACTATCCACGACGTGGCCGAGATATTTTAGTTGGCCGACACAGAATTGGTATTTATCAGGATTTAAGCGGAGACGGGCCTCGTGGAGGCGGTGGAATACTTCGGCGAGCAGGTCTAGGTGTTGGTAGAACGTGCAATTAATTACTATTATATCATCTAAATATACGAAGACGTTCGGGTTCGAGCGCGGGACCGATGACGGTATCGAGCAGGCGTTGGAATGTTGCTGGGGCAGAGTGCATCACCCAGAACTGCATTAACCCTTTCCCCGGGGGAGAGGCTCACTTGCGCACAGTACAATTGGACACGTTGCAATTGCACACTGTGATATTAGACACATAAAGTTACGCACCGTTCGATTGGACACATTTCACTTGCGCACAATTTGTTTGGTCACATTTCATTTGCGCACCGTTCAATTGGACACGTTGTTTTTGGACACAACACATGTTTTTGTATCATTTGGAATACATACACACGCATTTTAAATTTTTTGACATTTATTATTAACTTCATTTGGTAAATAAACGTTTGTTACAGTTCATTAACACACAGTTCGTTTACACACAGTTCGTTTGCACACAGTTCTTTTGCGCACAGTTCTTTTGCGCACAGTTCTTTTGCGCACATTTCTTTTGCGCACAGTTTGTTTGTGCACATAAATTTTAGTTTTTGATCAGAAATAGGTTTGGGTTAGGTAATATCTTCTGGAAGTGGAGCCCCCCCGTAGGGGGGGGGGGGGCGAAAGCCACTGTGTCCATGCATATACTTTACAACGCGAAACGAGGTCCCTATAATTGTTGTGTGGATGTGAAAGTGTGTAAACGAACTGTGCGTAAACGAACTGTGCGCAATTGAAATGTGTCCAAACAAACGGTGCGGAACTTTATGTGTCTAATAACACAGTGTGCAATTGCAACGTGTCCAATTGTACTGTGCGCAAGTGAAGGCTTCTCTTTCCCCGGTACGGTAAAGGCTGTGATCGGTCGGTTTCTGGCACGAGTGGTATCTGCCAGTAACCACTTTTTAGATCGAGCGTAGTGAGATAGCCGGCGCCTCGTAACTTATCCAAAGTGGCTGTGACTTGTGACAAACGTCCTTCTCGGTGACCTCGTTGACTTTTCGAAAGTCGATGCAGAAACGATGCTTCCTAGCCTTCTTCCAGATGATTACGATGTGGGAGCTCCACGCGCTTCTGGACGGCTCGATTATTCCTGCTTTGCCTATTTCTTTGACCTCCACATCAATAATTGCCTGCATGGCCGGGTTGCGTGGTCTATAACGCTGTTTAATCGGTGTGGCGCGGTTCAAGCGGATGTAATGCTCAATCAATGATGTCGGACCGGTGACCTGTTGGAATTGGTCCACCTCGTGGCTTAGAAATGCGCTCAGTCACTTTTCTTCTTCCCGGGTGCGTGTGGCTAGTCCGCGGGTCATTCCGCAAGCTGGCTGGCGGATCCGTGATTGCGGTTGTCGCGGCGGTGAGATCGTTAGCCCCATGCGAGCCCATTAGTTCACCCCGATGAGCACGGCTTCCCGTAATGATGGTAGGATCGAGAAGGCGTGGGTGTAAGTACGCCCGTGCAGGCGGATCGGTAGTCTGACGAGCACTAGGGTGGAAGTGCCATCGGCCACTTGCATTTGGCTGTCTTCTTTGACGAGCTCGATGTCGAGTTGCCGGATCAAGTCGACGGTTTCCGCATTTACAAATGAGACTTCTGAGCTGGAATCGAGTAGTTTCTATGGAGTGCCCGTAGATCGTCAGCGTGAGGTGCGGCCGAAGCGTGTACCTCATTCGGCATTGGACGTCCGGGGTTCGGCCGCAGTGATCCAGGCGCGGTTGGCGTTTCCCGGCGAAAGGTGTTCTTGGTGAGGACCTCGTCCTTGCCACATTGCAAAAAAAAAAACGGTGGAGTGGGCGCTTGCAGTCAAACCGGGTGTACCTTTGCTGCTTGCCGCAGCGTCAGCAGCACTTCTCCCAATTATACGTGACCGCTATGGTCGGTGGTATCGCGGTGTTCTTGCTCTGGCCGTGTCACTCCTGCTCGATCCCCTCGAATTCCGCGGCGTTTACTATGAGTTCGTTAAGATTCTGGACGTCCCGGCGCTTCACGTATATTTTAGATTCGGGCCGCATGTTCGCGTAAATTCGCGTGAGTCGTTGTTCGCGAGTGAATCCCCCGGCTCGACGCATGAGCGTCATCATGTTGTCGGCAAAGGAGTGAATTTTTTGTTTTCGCGTTGCCGGATCGAATATTTGCCGTTGCAATTCTTCAAGATATCGCGGCGGGAGGTATCTTAAGCGGAAGGCGTTGCGAAAGTTCTCCCACGTCTCCCAATCGTCGCGGTTATTACGCGTCCAAGCTACGGCGTCTCCGCGTAATAGTTCTGACAGACCTTTCAGAAGCTGCTCGCTGGAGTATCCGTACCTCACGCAAAGGTCGTCGACGCACTTTAAGAACGCGACCGAATCGCGGCCGTTGAAGGGGTATTCCCATTTTCTGAGTTGGTTTAGCATGTGGACCGCGAACGGTACAAAGTCGTGATCTTCGTCGGCGAGTGCGGGCGGCGCTACGATATCGATTCGTGGGAGTGGTCGCGGGTTGCGTGCATCGTGGGTTTGTGCCGCGAATTCCTCGGAGTGTGCGTCCACGTACAAGCTTATTCGGAAGCGGATATCGAGTGTACCGGATGCGTCGATGCCATGCGCGATTGCGATGGCGCTAAGTTTTTCTTTTGGAAGCGTATATGCCGTGATTTACAGTGTCGCGTAATGGGCTTCGATGTATAATGACACGGCGCGTATTCCCAGATGTTCGGGGATTGTGTCCGGAAATCGGGAAATCCCGACCGGGGTGGAGAACTCTCCGTCTCTGTTCCGTGCACGGATCTAGAGGATGGTCGGCGGAGCCGAGAAAGCTCGGCGGGGGCAACAAACTCGCTGTCCCACAGTCCGGCTGGCCGGCGCGGTCGGATGATAGACTGTAAGCTCGAGAATATCTTAAGGAGAACTGCAAACACTCCGCTCTTGTTCGATTCGGTTGGATGAAAAGGATTCGCAGTCGGAGCGGACGTCGAAAATGCTTGGTGAAGGCTGCGAACTCGTCAACCTCGCGATTCGTTTCCTTTTGCGAAAGAGGATCGGTTTGGGATATTTCTTGTGCGTACTGCTCAAGCGGATTCAGGTACCGGTCTGGTATCGATGTGTAATTTGGCGGTCTTTTTATATCCGGTAATTAAAGGTCGCGTCGTTTCCCTACGGTGGGAGGAACGACGCGGCGTTTCGACAGGAGTCGCCCGGCGTTGGTCTGGAGCGCTCGGCGCCGCTCGGTTTTCGGCGCGGGCTGTAACTGCGGCCGTATAACGGCTGTACAGCTATTTAATTTATAACAGATTAAAAAAGAGCGCTAAGTGTCTCTGCCCTTGCCCGGCTGATGTTCGCCGGGCGGTAGATTTTCGGCTGGTTAACGTGCTGGGTAACGATGGAAGGTGCATCGTTATACAATTTACAAATATTTATTAAATTTTAATAAAAGTGTCATCTCAAAATTATGGTCCGTCATTTTTTCGCTTAAATCATATACTAGACCATTTGCACTAAACATACCCTCTACGTGCGCTAAGAATAGTACTGTTGTGTTGTATTTTATGAACGCATGTTTTAATGGTACTGGATTAGTGTCTTATGTTATTATAATTATTAGTAAACAAATAATTTTTGATTATCAAAAATACAAAAATTTTAACTTGTATAAAAAAAAGTTAATAAGTTAATGTTAATGTATTTAAAAGTATATAGTTTAAATTAAAAGTTAACACGTTTAAAGTTAACTAAGTTAAGTTAAAAGTTATTAGCTTTTCAACTTTTTAACTTAACTTTTAACTTTTTAACTAGTTACTATTCAACTCTGAATATATCGTATGATAAATAATAATTTACCTTGGCTTCTTGTGGCTTAACATTCGCAATAGCGAAAGTTTCCTTGTAAATTGGATTAGCAGTATTTTTGATGCCCCTTGTTCTGAAACTGTGCAATTTTTGTTGCTTCCTGTGACTCCATGATTGTTTTACAATATTCAATGCTACATAAGGTTCTAATGTACCATTATATTGCTTTGGAGAAAGGCCGCTCAGTGCCTGTAAAACACAGAATGAGTTTCATTTTCTTTAAGTGATTTCATTTTGTGCACGATATATTCAATTATTTTAATGAGTCGGCCGCAAGATCATCAGCGTAATTTTTAATATTTATTTTATTGTTTACTAAAAATTTTCTTGCGTGACTTGTTTGTATATAGAATATTGACTTATATTAAAACGCACTTCGATACCGATAATAAGCTTCCCGATGATATTATCGCAGGGTAGGTATTGCAAGCTCATTGTTAATTCGGTCGGAAATTCTTTTACCTTTTTGTCATTCTTCTGCTTATCTATCTGAATCAAATTCTGCAATTTTCAAAGAAAAATTAATATCTAACGCGATGGTGCATGTAATGATGGAATGTAACTTCTTCATATAATTACCAACGTGGAGGAATACTCTATGTTCTCGCATTGAGCATTGGCAGAATTAAACGAATCCCTATGAGATTCCGCATTGTCGCTGATAGTACCTGCATAACACAATATTTCTATTTATTATTTTGTTACAATTTCTCAATTGATAGATGTTGATCAAGTTAATTAATCTTAAGATATTTTTGCTGCATTTGATCTCTCAAATTTAAATTTTATCAGAGAGATATACTATAAACAAGATGAATTTATAATCTCTAATAGTGAAAACAAAATACTATTTATAGAAAATATTGATATTTGTTCTCTTGCTATATAATACATGTCCCTAAAAGATGTCTAAAAGCAGACTTAAAGATATCTTAGATATCTTTAAGATTCTTTTAACACAAAATAAAAACTGAACAAAATTTATCAAACGTAATAAATTTTTCGTGCAAATGATTAAGTTATTGGGTTGTCCGGAAAGTTCGTGCCGATTTTGAAGGAAAATTGAAACGCAGAAGATTTAAATTTTAGTATACATTTATTAAATTATATATTTAACATTTCTGCTAATTTACGTGTCGTATAGCGTGGGTTATTCTCGATCAATGTTTTAATCTGATCTTCATCTGTGGTGGAGGGCCTACCCGGGCGTTCTTGATCTTTAAGGTTGAAATCACCAGCTTTAAACCTAGCAAACCACTTCCGCACAGTTCTTTCAGCTACAACATCTTCGCCATAAACAGCGCATATCTTGTTAGCCGCTTGTGTGGCATTTTTGCCTTTCCGGTAAAAAAAAGCATTAAATGCCTAAAATGCACTTTGTTTTCTTCCATATTCAAAGGCGTATAAAACTGACAAAAATTAACGTATTGTAACCAAATTTTTTTCCAAATATGCCTGAAGTACCGTCTTTTACGATATGTAGGCATGTCATTTGTTTTCAATCGTTCTGATATATTCAGACCTGTCCTTACGCCACCTACCAAAAATCGGCAAGAACTTTCCGGACAACCCAATAGAATGATTTTAATAATAATTTATTAAAATAATGTAAACATATTAATTTAAAAATGTATTTTTATGTCAGATATTCCAAAATAGCGTTTACTGTAATAGATTATTACTCACAAATACATAACTAATCTATCAAATAGTATTCGTCAGTGATGTACAATTGTTGCTTTTATAATTTTTGATGTAGGGTGAGTTCCGTTATGCACTGCGAGTACTGCAGTCATGACGTCATGTAAGTGTACTGCTAATAGCGTTCCGTTTTAATTGTACTTTGAAGCTGTTGCAAACTTGTAAAACGGAACGCACTCACAATATGCTTTCAGCAGCTCGCATCCAGTGTAAACTATGCATAACCTATCTATTGTTTTGCTTATCTTTTTGTCAAAAATAAATGGAATAATAAATGTTATATAAAAATTATATATTCTTAAAATAATTTTATACGTTGAATATAATAAATGAAAACAATTATTCTATTTAGATACATTAGTTTTTATTAACAAAAAAAAAATATATATATACATATACAGGGTGTTAGAAAAGTCTGGAAACGGTCAAATATCTCGTAAACAATGCATTTTAGAAAAAAATGTTTCAGACAAAAGTTGCATGGTTTCCCAAGAAGTTGGAACAACCGGCCCTAACTGTAAGATAGCCACCTATCAGTTAGTGTGATTTTCCCAAGAAGTTGGGACAACCGGCCCTAAAAGGTGTTACAGGCTAATATTGCTGAAACTGAACGAGATATGCAATTATTATTTTTCAGCGATTGTTTGGCATTGAAACGGGCATTGTTTGATAAAGATAATTTTTGCGTCAAACAGATACATGTTTACTTGCAAATGGCAATGATTTCGAACATTGTAACAAGAACTGAACTCTTTCGCATTGTTTTTCTCATTGTAATTTTGGTATGACTTTGACTATATGTGGTCATTTTACACGTCAAGAGACGGGCTACGATTGTACATATATATACTATATGTACGAGGGCTGTATGATAAGTACCCGTGTTAGAGAAGGAAACGCACTTTTTTTTAAATTTTTTTTTATCTATTTCTCAACATAGTCTCCTTTTAGCTCGATACACTTAGTCCAGCGATATTCCAACTTTTTTAAGCCATCCAAAAAATATGATTTGTCGAATTCTGCAAAAACGGATGTTTGGCCACGCTTAAATTCATTGAACCAATATCTGATGGTAGTCATCGAAGGTGCATGGTCCTTATAAACGGCATGCAACTTCACTTTGATTTCCTCACACTTCCCATCCAAAAAAAAGAATCGAATCACTGACCGATATTGCTCTTTTTCCATGGTTGTAGACACACACAAACTTGCCCACTTTCAACAGCTATCAAAACAAAACTACTCGATAAATCTGTCTGAAATTTTGACAGGCGTCGTTCGAAAGATGGCGTTAAACGATGGTATACAGATTTTGAGTCAGTGGCGCTAGCAGTCGTTAAACATGGGTACTTATCATACAGCCCTCGTATATACAGGATATCCCACTAAAAGTGGCCACCTTCTTTTATCTTTTAAACTAAAAGAGATAGACCATAACAAATATATATCAAATTAAATAGTTCAAATTGAGCTCTATTGTGAGCATAGTGGTTGCTTCCAAAAGCTATCTGTGTTAACGAATAGAAAGATATGCATAATTTGTTTATAATAATGTGAATTTTTCGACATGTAAAAAGTTGTAGCGCTGTTTGAAACAAATACAACAATGTATGATATAATGTAAATATTTTACATATTATACGAGTTTTATCGACTTGAAACATCGTGGGCGACGTCTATCTTTTCACCTTCTGCCCTGCGTTATGGCCAACTTCTGACTCGTGCATTAGAGATTGACATATGTCATGTTGTCCTTTGATCATAATATTCAACCCGAAATTGGCCATATCGCAGGGCCGAAAATGAAAAGATAGACGTCGTCCGCGATATTTCAAGTTGATAAAACTCGTATAATATGTAAAATATTTGCATTATATCATACATCATTATATTCGTTTCAAACAGCGCTACAACTATTTTCATGTCAAAAAATTCACATTATTATAAAAAAATTATGCGTATCTCTCCGTTCGTTAACACAGATAGCTTTTGGAAGTAACTACTATGCTCGCAATAGAGTTCAGTTTGAACCATTTTATTTAATATATATTTGTTACGGTTTATCTCTTTTAGTTTAAAAGATAAAAGGGGGTGGCCACTTTTGGTGAAACACCCTGTATATATATTGTTGCGTTCGTCGCTCTCTCACTTTCTCACACTCGCGCACACGTAATAAAAGGACACTTCCGTAAAAATGAGAACATTTTTATACACAGAAATATTATGTACAACAGGAATACAACATTCATTTATATTCGTAACCGAGAATGACACGTCTTTCCAAGCCGAAAGCCCCGAAACAATCACACAACCCAACTTCGTTTAACAAATCCCACTCGTTGTTAGGGAGAACGCCTTGCAGCTAATGTCTCGCCAAGCATCCAGCGCGAACATAACACCGAGCGTCCAGCGCGAACGTAACACTGCCCTCCTTCTTCAAGATCGTCGTCCCGACAATCCGGAAGAGCAGATCTCAAGCGTTTTTCTGTCCCTTTTCGTTATCTTGAAGATTCAGGGTACCAAAAATGGTCTCTTGCCCTACCTCGAGCTGCTGCCACGAGTTGCCAGGCCCCATTTTTCCCCGATCTCCACCTACGATTTTGGGACTTCATTGCGGATTTTCTTGAAGATAGAGAGCTGGCCAGGCTTCCTTCTTCTTCAACTTCCGCACGCCCTCATGTTCTTCTTCCTGTAGAGATTGACGGAAGTTTTAAAGGGAAAGGAAACACTTCAGTCATCAGGGAACACTTGGAGACGATGCTTTCTGAAACGGGCAAAATATTTAACGCATAAAACATAAAAATGTTTTTCTTTAACAAATAAATTAATTTTAAATGGGACTCCGAGCTTCAAAGTCTTTTTAACTATCCCTTAATCGCGTTTTCCTGCTTGCTAGGACAATCAGAACGGCCCAGTTTTTCCGCATGTCCAACATTCCCTATTAAAATTTTCTCTCCTCTCTTCGAAACCTTCCCCTTGAATAACTTTTAAAGTTTTCGCCCTCTCTATCGCCGAATTCAAAAAATCAACATTTTCGAGTTGAAGGGTTTTTCTAATAAAGTTATCAGAAACAGCAGAAATAAATTGTGCGCAAGCAATTCTTTCGCGAACCTCAAGCGGACATTCAGGATAAACGAGGCGCACGAGTCTTTCAAGCTCAGAGCCCAGGGTAGCCAAATCTCCCCCAGCTTTCTGTTTACGGTTCGTAAATTGCGTGTAAAAATTCTGAGACAGGTATCCCTCCCCAAAACGCAATTCGAGTTTAGATTTTAACTCTGAAAATTCCAAACTTGACACATCTTGTACAGCTTCTAACACAGAACGCGCTTTGCCCCTCAAACACGCAGCAAGCGCAACAGTCTTAGTCGTGTCGTCCCATTTATTCGCCTGAGCGATTAAATTAAATTGCGAGAAAAATTCCCGCAGCGGCACCGTTCCATCAAACACGTCCGGTTTTAATTTAAAACTTAATTCCGCGCGTATGTTGATTTCCGCCGCGTTTTCGCCCCGCGAATTCCCGACTCTAGAAATCGAAGGACTTAGCTGGTTATTTCTTTGTAGCCGCATGAGCTCATTTTCAAACTGTTGAAGTCTCGCTGTGAGCTCCGTTTCCCTCCGAGCTTGCTCCTCGCGCATTCTCCGCATCTCTTCCAGTATCGCTCCAAGAGATGTTGTTTCCGTCGCGGACCTCATATCATCAGTAGGTGGTGTTTTTGTCCTTGCTCGAGCCCTCCTCGGTGAATGTACCGTACTCATATTCGTATTCCGATATCGAGATGACGATCCCGGACGAGCCCCCAAAATGTTGCGTTCGTCGCTCTCTCACTTTCTCACACTCGCGCACACGCAATAAAAGGACACTTCCGTAAAAATGAGAACAACTTTATACACAGAAATATTATGTACAACAGGAATACTGATGAAAGTCAGGGTACGCGCGAGGCCAAACTTTTCGTTGCCGTGCGACACTGCGAAGCCCGCCGCTGGCAGGCCTAGAGCGTACCACAGTCTAGCCGCGCGAAACGCATGCTCATTCATAAATCATTTTTTAATTAACTTTTGTAACAAATTTTGGAGGTTTTCAAATTTTGGAGGTGGCTATCTTGATTACTGTGAGTATTTCACCTTGTCCACTGCAGAGTAGTCGCAACTAGAAACCCTCTAGTGAGAATCTCGAACTAACGTCCCTGATTTTGATTGGTGCCGCCATGTTTTGTCAAACTGATATAAAGGACTTTTCTGTTGAGTTTACTGTGCTCTACCCGCTTACGTTTGCTACCAGCAAACATTGTCTAAGGTGCTTTGGGACATCCTGTATATAAGTATATACATACATATACGTATATACATATTAAATAATATGTAATAGCATTATCAGTTTTTTCTTTTAACAGTCTTTTAAACTTCTCTAAAATCTATAAATAAAACAAAATATAAAAATTTTAAAAATAAAAAAATATTAACTAATAGTAAAGTAGAAAATAAATCATTTTTTAATTAACTTTTGTAACAAATTTTGGAGGTTTTCAAATTTTGGAGGTGGCTATCTTGATTACTGTGAGTATTTCACCTTGTCCACTGCAGAGTAGTCGCAACTAGAAACCCTCTAGTAAGAATCTCGAACTAACGTCCCTGATTTTGATTGGTGCCGCCATGTTTTGTCAAACTGATATACATATAATAGATATAACATGATTGTGTACGACATTATGGTAGTGTCTGTAACATGGACGTAAGCAGAAACGTGTGTTTGACAAAACATGGCGTCATCGACCTAACTTACAAGACGTTATTTCGGGACTCTTATTAGAGGATCTCTAGTCGCAACAGAAAGTAACGTCAAAATTAGTGACGTCATAAATTTATAATAGTACTGTTGCAGTGTACTGCTGTCTATATTGGAACGCCGGAATTGGCAGAACTGCCAGTACTCGCAGTGCATAACGGAACGCACCCATTATAATAATTTTTTACAAAATGACAAAATAGTTAGTAATAAACAAGCAGAATAAAAAAGTAAATTAGAAAAACATGGAATCAATGTGAGAAATCTTCCTAATGTTTAAATTAAACGCAATAAAAGTTTCATACCGTTGTCATTTTCGTACAAACTACCCAATCTCCAAGATCTGTAGCTAATATCATTTAGCTTCAAATTTTTCTTCTCCTGATTGTTTGCACGTAAATGAACATTCTTCTCCTCTTTACCTATAGAAAATCACTTTAAGGATATTGTTTTTCTCTCCTTTTATGTTGGATTATTATTATTAAATTTTATTATTATTAGATTGCACAACAATTTAGGAAACATTATCACGGTTTTCTCTCAAGGCGTATAGATTTCTACTTTTTTGATATATGTATTACGCGATCTATTATGGTATATTTTGACATTTATATACCATACATTTAGATACCTGAATATTCTTATTATATACAATATGTTTCAGAAATAGATGGCCAAACTTTAAGAGCATATTCTACTCGGTATAAGGATGAACAGAAGTTATGTAAACATGGGTCCGGAAACGCTTCCTTTCCAAGTTATAAACATTTTTTATTTACATTGGACAACATACCTCGCATCGACGTTTCATGAATTGTCCTTCTATTCACTTTCTATTAGAAGTAAACAAGAAGTTTAATTTATGGGGACATCTTAAGACTCTCATTTATGATATTCCTGTTGCTACTGCGGAAATACTCCGAAATCGTATTATTGCTTCGTGCGTGATAAAATACGAAATACTCCGGGAATTTTTGAACGTGTTCGACAATTCATGCGACGTCAATGCGAGACATGCATGCGGAAGAAAATCATTTCTAGCAATTTCTATAATAAAATGTTCTTATAGTTTCAAATGTTCTTAAAGTCTGTTATAAATAAAAAATGTTTATAAATTAGAAAAAAAGCGTTTTTGGATCCATGTTTATATGACTTCTTTTTATCCTTGTAGTGAGTAGAATATGCTCTTAAAGTTTGGCCATCTATTTTTGAAACACCCTGTATACATATACAAGGTGGACCATTTTAATCAATCCACGCGAATATCTAGAAAACTGAGCTCGATAGACAAAGATCTTTCAGACAAGAGTTGCATGATTTCGAGGGGGCCACATGATGAAAATATGGACTTGACCTTGAGTGATCTTTTCAAGGTGAGGTCAATGTGATTGAAGTTTTCTTGGTAAATATAGCGAATAGGGGACCCAGCCCCAATGACCTTGACCTTGACATATGTTGTCAAGGACATAATTCTGAGTAACTTTTTCTTCTAATTTAATCGTAAAGTTACTTAGAATTATGTCCTTGACAACATATATCAAGGTCAAGGTCATTGGGGCTGAGTCCCCTTTTCGGTATATTTACATTTTATTTTTGAACACCCTATATATGTAAAACCTTGTGTTTATTTCAGTTTATATGTGTAATATACGTAGGACTATTTCTGTAAATACTAATTAAGCAATTGTCAACAAGTCTTGATACAAAGGCTATATATTATATACAGGATGTCCCCAAAACATTCGGCCAAACCTTAAAGCTATATTTTAGAAAGTAAAATAAACAAAAAGAGTTTAATAAACATAAGTCCGAAAACTAACGAGTTACACTAATTTAAACTTATGAACATATAACTCAACATAATTGCAAATAAATTACCATCAAATAACTCACACATAAAGTGGCAAAAACTGTTCAAAGTGACTATCTCTAGCAGTAATAGTTTATTTTCTCTAGAATACAGTATTAACGTTTGGCCGAATATTTTTGCGACATCCTGTATATATATGATCGCTAATTATTGAGCAACAATTGCATAACATGGCGTATACTAAATTTAACGTATAACATTTTTTTATGTAGAAGATATATTCATAAAAGTTCGAAATGATATATAATATCAATCGGGCGTTTCCCGCAACATTATCGGAAGATTATTGTGCATTTTGTTGTGCAGTTGATGTATTATATAAGGCTACGGAAGAAGCAAACTCATGAAACGTCATTTATTCAAGTATATAGGGTGTCTGATAATAATTGCCCTACCCGTAATATGCAGGTAGAGCAGGTTAAACCGTGCAAGTCCTTTACCATTTTGCGATTTTCGTAATAATTACTGAGGAATTAATTAAGAAAGATCGACCAATTCGCGCGAGTATAAGCGCGCAGCGAGAAGAGACAATCCAAAAGTATGCTGTCGCTAGACAAGGCCGCGACAAAGTTTTGGGAGGAGCGTTCTACAAATGACAACAGTTACGTACATATAAGCAGTACATAACGATGGATTGTCGCGTCCTAGCAACCACATATCAATGCCGCCTATATCAGGCCCTTCTTTCTCACCGCGCGATAATACTCGCGCGAATTGGCCGATCTTTTTTATTTAATTTCTCATTAATTATTATGAAAATCGCAAAACGGTAGAGGACTTTTCTACTTGGTTTAACTCGCTCTACCTGCATATTTCAGGTGGGGCGATTATTATCAGACACCTTGTATATGTTATACGATGATATGCAAAGGCGTAATTTGCGCGTATTCGTAGAGTTCTTATATATAAATTTATAACAAGCAATTTGTATAAAAAATTATAATGAATATTTATTTTTAAATATATAAATGTAATAATTGATGCTGTGATTTAAAATATTTATTGCTGAGATATTTAAAAAATATAATCATTTTGCGATATTACATATGTATGAAGCATGTATACAGGGTGTCCGGTAAAGACTGTGCCAATATTTGTGAGCGGGAAGAGCACAGTAAACTGAACAGAAAAGTCTTGTAACATTTTTTTCTATAACGCTTAATAAAGAAGTTATTATTGAATAAAGTCTGCCAATCAGCTCCGACCTTTAGCCGCGCGTCTGGTAGTGTGCGTGAGCGCTCCGCCGCTACGGCGACGCACACTAACAGACGGGCGGCTCACTGACGTGCGTCCGGCTAAAAGTCGGCGCTGATTGACCAGACTTTACTTAATAATATCTCCTTTATTAAGCGTTATATAAAAAAATGTTACAGGACTTTTCTGTTTAGTTTACTGTGCTCTAACCGCTCACGATCGTTGGCACAATCTTTACCGGACACCCTGTATAAAGAAGCATAACATTCGCATACGTGGCTGGAAAACAGAATGTGAAATCGATACGTTGAGCTGAAATCGATGTCAAGTACTTTTTACTAAAAATAACATTACGACTACGCTTAGTAGCATGGAAATTAACGAAATTAATTTGCTTTTATTTTTAATTCTCAATTCTCTTATTAAGCTCAGAAATTGGTTGCTCTCAAATAACTAATTATGTTTAATACGCAAGAAAAGTAAAAAAGTTGATGATCTTACTTTGTTTCTTGAAACATTCATAACCGATGCAACCAGGCGTGAGGAAACAAGCGAATAGGAGCAGTGCGATCAAGATGATTCCTACTCCTATCACGATTATAATTAGCAGGCCCCACGGGCCAAAAAAATCTTCGTACAACATTCTCTGGAATACACTGGAATTTGAATTTAAAATTATTTATACCGATAGTATCACATGCGTATAAACACATAACAACAATATGACGAAACATAAAGGCAATTAATAAGAGCGAGCAGAACTCGCGTAATATAGAAATATGTATATATTTCTTGCATTTATTTTAATTATTTTATAATAAAGTAATATTTGTTATATACTTGTAATTATTATTTTTTTTTACTTCGATATCTTGAAAAAGTATTAGCTGATATTATATAAGAGAGCGGGAACGTTTGACTCCGTTTCATAATGAAAACATCGGTTACTCACATTCAAAGATCTACGTCTTATATGTTCCTTGTGCACATCTGCCAATTGTGGTTTCTTCCGATATAAGAACGTGAAAAATAAACCGTATTAGCGTACATATATCGGCGGAGAAGAAACACTTGTGTCACCAATAATTCGTTGTTACGTCCAAAGGAAAGTGCGCAAAACAAATGATAACGCGCAACGATAAGGGAGCACCATCAAAACGTATTAGAATAGCTATCCGTTTTTCTTTTCCGTTGAACAATTTCGATCTAAAAATATTAGAGCATATTTTGGCACATTAATTAAAAGAAAATATTTTTAGTTGTTTCCGAGAAAAAAGAAGATATACATTATATTTCCTTGATAATTAATTTTTGCATCAAAATTTGTCTAAACGCTAAATATTATGTGACACAAAATAAGCTTGTTTATAAATATAAAAGTGATTATTACACGTTAGTTTTTTACATTATCATAGATTGCTGAGCATCACGGACTTACTGCGTAGATCACCATTATGAAGGTAATATGTATAGAGGAATAATAAGTTATTTTTATACACGGAGAGACAAAATCGCAATGTGATGATTAAAAGCGATAACATCTATAGTTACGAGACTAACTGTGTTGAAAAATATACTTAATAAAATAAATATAAATGTTCACACACTGTTCTGTCTCTTTCACATTATATATGCATGGTTGATAATTTCGATGAGCAATATCGGCATGTCGGCATATTTGAAATATTTAACGACGCGATTTGCGAGATTTATCACATTCGCTTTTTAGTAAATCTTACGAATCTTTCGTCGCGGATTGCATCGTTGGCCTTGCATGTATACATAGGGTGTCTCACAACCTCGGTACAATATTTTAATACCTTATTCTAGAGGTAAAATGGAGTATAAAATTCTAATACAAAAATCGATTTATAATAGTTTTTGAGTTATAATTGATCTAAATTTTCCAACGCATAAAACTCGCGCGTTTAGGCCCGTAACTTCATTTACACATGTATCGATCTGTCATCTATTATTGATTTTTACAAGACATGTAATAAATAAATTGATTTCCATAAATACTCCTCCGTGATTAAACAAAAATAAGCCTTGTTTTTTAACTCTGTAAAAATATTAGGTTTATAATTTTTTTTAAATGTAACAACTAATCAACTATTTAAATTGTTATTTAAGAAAAAATCTATTATATTTTGCGTATAACATTTATAACTCATTAATATTAGCTGACCACTATACGTAGTATCCACGCACTTTAGAAATAATAAAATCAGCTGTGCAGTAAAAATCAATAACAGATGATAAATCTGTACACGTGTAAGTATAGTTATGGATCTGAACGCATAAGTTCTATACGATATCATTAGCAAATTTTGATTGCTTATAACTCAAAAATACTACAAACTATTGCAGTCTCGATATTTTTGTATTAGAATTTTTTATTCTATTTTACCTCTAGAATACACTATTAAAATACTGTATAAAAGTTGTGAGACACCCTATATATAACATTAGTATTCCTAGGTTTTCTTGTATCGAATAATCTAGTAATTCATTCTAATTCTCGATTCACGATCAATGTCACTTGTGCGACTACGACGTAAATGATTATTTCGAATTCAATTATCAATTACTCTTTCGCACCCATTGCGTATATCGGTCTGCTATTTATTCTATCACATTGTAACCCAAAATGATTTTGAAACAAATTTACGCTCTGAATTTGCACTCACAAATACGAAATTGCGTTTATTCTCGATCTCGTAACCGATTAACTGATTTAACGTTCTACTTTTCTTCTTAAGCGTATATACTACATTCTCATACGTGATCTTTCGCGTCTCTGGCTTGGCGAACAAATGTATGTATGACAACGGCACCCCCCCCCCCCCCCCCACGGGTTCTGATTATCTTGCCGGTAGTTCGCGAATAGATGAGTAATGCATTGGCGGCTTCAATCAGGGACCTATATCTGCATCCTTAATACCAAAAATGTAATAAATTACTGGATTTTTCTTATAGCAATCTTTATAGCAATCATCAATTTATTTTAATAAAGAATCTTCGTTTATTTATATTTCATTTACCTCTTGAGTTAAGAGTTTTTCATATACAGGGTGTCCGACAAGTAAGTGATCAAACGAAAAGTGGAGGTAGATTGGGTCAAACTGAGTCGAAAAGTCCTGAACCATTTTTTTTTATAACGCTTAATAAAGGACTTACTATTGAGTAAGGTCTGGCCAATCAGCGCCAACCTTTAGCCGGGCGCATGTCGGTAAGCCGCGCGCCGTGTGCGTCGCCGCATACTACCAGGTTATAAAAAAAGGTTATAAAAAAAATGGTTCAGGACTTTTCGACTCAGTTTGATCCAATCTACCTCCACCTTTCGTTTGATCACTTACTTGTCGGACACCCTGAATATTTGAGAGAGGGAGAGTTATATGTAGCGAATATGTAGAGAAAATTTTACAATAAAAATCACATATAAAATACATATCCCTTTTCAACATTTTATTGTAAAGCTAGAATATAACGATATTATAATTACTAAAAAAAATTGTAAAATTGACGATTAATAGAAAATAATAAAAGTGACACACAATACACATTGTAAAAATTCGTTGCCAATAAAAAAATTTTTCAAAATTACAATCATTAAATATTATTAAAATAAAACCCGTATAACTTTAACAATAACTTATTGTCATATTTACATTAGCAATCTATAGTATATTACTTTTATTCTATTATTGTGAATTATAATTAATTTGGCAAATGATATATGTAAGGATAAACCGGAGGAAAAAATCTATATTAGCAATTCATTAATGTCCATTAATGTGTTACATTTCATTTTTTTCAGTAATAATAAAAATGTAACATATATTTATTTTATATATGTATATAATATAATATACATATACATGCATTTTACAATGTACATTATATATAATGCAATATAATATAAAATATTATGTATATATGTATACAGGGTAGGCCATTTTAATGTATCCACTGAAAAATCTTAAAATCTATAAGTTTAAGACAAAAATGTTTTAGACAAAAGTTGTATGATTCACAGGGGAACATATAATGAAAATATGGACTTGACCTTGAATGATCTTTTCAAGGCCAAGTCAATGTGATCGATGTTTTCTTAAATGGAAACCCCGATTTTTTTTGTATATTCTTGTAGCTTATCTCGAGAGCTTTTTAAAACACTATAACAAAGTATTTTTTCATTAAGTACTTTTCATGAAAAAATACTTTGTTATAGTGTTTTGGAAAGCTCTCGACATAAGCTATAAGTATATGCAATGAAAAATAGGGGATTTCATTTAAGAAATTAAAGGTGTCCTTGACTTGACCTTAACGATGCCATCCAAGGTCAAACCAATAACACCATTTTATGTTCCCTTCAAAACCATACAATTTTTGTTCAAAACGTTTTTCCCTAAAATGCTTAGTTTTTGAAAGAAAAGGGGTGTACGGGTGGTCTAGGACACCCTGTATGTTTTTATCATCCCATTGTAATAGTTGAGATCAAAACCAATCCAATCATCTATGATAGTACAGTGGAACCTCGAAATAGTGTGCTGTACAGGGCCCTGGATCGCTATAACGAGGTACCCCCCTCTCGTCAAATTCAGGGCCGTAGTGGCGGCGTGAGACTTACACGAACACGTCTTTTTAAAGCTGCATTCGGAAACATCACTGTGTGCACACGAATGTCGTTCTATCTTTGTTCAACTTTTAGTAAATAACAAAGCTAGAACGACGCTCGTGTGCACACGGATGATGTTTCCGAATGCAGTCTAAGTATACCGTCAAAAGAGAATATGGCGCGCCCACAGATCTACGCGTTACTGCGCAGTTAAGGATGTTCTGGAGATACCGGTCCAGTCAAAAGTTATGGAAATATTAAAAACACCGATATTAATCCTCCAGAGATACAAAGAAAAAAAAATGTATATAAATAGTTACGGCAAGCCTAATAGAATGTAAAAAACGTAGAAAAATATAAAAAAGAACAAAAAAAAAATAAAAAAAAATAAAAAAGTTTTAAGAGTGGATTTGCCCTGAATTCAACGTAACAAAGTGAAATTTGTGAAAAATTATAAAATGAAGTAATTACGAGCAATAATTTCACTGATTTTTTGCAATTTCTTTAAAACTATGTTGTAAATCGTTTAAAATCTTGTTGCCATGTTTTTGTTTGTTGATAATCTACTTGTGCGTAAAATATCATTATATTGGTAGCATTTTTTAAATACTTTTCTCTGTAATGCAATAAGGTTACGTGTTAAAACTCGGATATTCAAAAATTGGTAACTTTTTATCTAAATTGTGAATCGATCTGAAATTTGGCCCCGAACCTTGAAAGAGAATACAAAACATTAAATTTTCATCAACTTCGTAGCATTTTGACAAACTATCCAGAACATTCTTAAATTGTTATCCCTACTCATGCTACTCGGGAGTAGCTTACGTTAGCACGTATGGGAGGAATGATGTCCGCTATTTTGAGATACACTATTTCGAGGTTCCACTAAAAAAATTGCTGTCATATATATGTATATAAAAGTCTTTTAAATAATATTATATTAACGTCATTATACCACGTCAGTATGACGTAATATTTAAATCCCACAATCAGTTGTACATCATTCTACATTGATATAATATAATCGTGTATTTATAATGTTTGACATATATTAAAATTAAATTAGTTTCTAATTAATTTAGTTAATTATAATTCTTAATTAATTGCAGTTTTATTGATATTACGATTTTATTATTATGCTAGTAAATATTGTTTATCATAGTAATATAACATGGAAATAAACAATATAACATAAGTTACATATTATGTAACTTAAAACAAAATTAAGCTCCCAGTAAATATGATACAATCTGTAATGAACATTTTACTGCAAATGATCATTTTTATTGTCCAGAGGCTCTGAACTCAGAAGACATATTTAAAATCAACAGCAATATCTTCTATATTTCCTTCATCAAATATTCAAAAGAAATGAATACAAAATCAGAAAAATAGATAATAAAAATAAGGAAAATGAAATAAATACTATAGAAAAAAATAAATATTCTCACAAAGAAAATTTTACAAATATTCACATTAAGATAGAGAGATAGATAGATCAAGATATAGATGGTTTACATATTAATATCAAATCAGAAGATGATGAAAATGTCGAAAATGTGCATACGATAATAAATATGTAATAGAGAAGCCAAATATATATAATCTAAATAGTAACATCAATCTGGAAATATGTGATCTAGAAAAGGCTGTAACAAGAGACCATGCATAACATCTTCATCAATACATGAACTAATCCAAATTGAAAAAACGAAGTAAATGACTGTGATAGTTTAAACTGTTCAAAGTTACGATGTATAAAGAATTCACCAACCGAAATACCAATCTATCGAAATAAATTCACGCCGTAAAAATCGCATATTACTACAGAAAATCCATAGGAGAAATACTAAAATAATATATCTCTCTGCAACAGCTTTTAACAAATTTAAAAAAGAAGGTACAGTGTTACAAATATTATATGCATGAAATGTTTTGTGTGCTTTATCCTATAAAATGGTTTTATTTTATTAGTTCTTTTACATAACTATACACTGAAAAAAAAATTTGGTTGAAAAAGGCAAAATTTGTTTT